TACCTATGAAATATCCTCCAGGTGAGAGAGAGGTCATTGTATTCAGCCAAGACAGACTTATTCAACAAAGAGTTCTTGACAATTTGCTCTGTGCCAGGTACCAAAGCTGGAACACACACACACACACACACACACACACACACACACACAATCTCTATGCTCAGGATGTTTGTCAACTGGTAGGAAATATGGAAATGTAAGAACAGTGGTGAGAGCAAAGTATCAGTTAATATACTTGATTGCAAGCAACCAAAAATCTGACTCAAACTGGTAAGAGAAAAGATCATCTAAGGGCTTATGTAACTGTACAGTCTAAGAGTAAACCCCACTTAGGCATTTCAACCCTACTGAGTTAAAATCTCTGTGGAAAGGCCTAGAAATCTGTGTTTAGCCTCACCCCCCCACACACACTAGGTAATTTTGATTCTGTTTTGGAAAGCACTATTTTATATAAATCATTAGGGCTGCAACTTGAAAACTGGACTGGAAAGGGGAGAGACTGAAGGAGGAGACCATCCCTCCTGAGGGAGAGGCGGGGCTCCTGGCCCCAGACAGGGGCAGTCCCAAGCACCGTGGCATCTGCTTTGTACTTAGACCAGGGCCAGAGAGCACACACCCTGAAGGCTGCTTGCATGGGGAGGTTCGAAAGGACATCAATAGGGAATGATGCCATCTCTCTGGTACTCAGTTTGAGGATTTACATGCCCTGTGAAAGTGGCTGTCACTTCCCTTAATTCACCCAACAAATATTATTGTGCAACTATGTACCAAACAGGGAGTTAGGCAATGAGGGTACAGGGTTTTATAGGCAAAGAGCCTTTCCTCATGAAGCTCATATTTAAAGGAGAAGCAGACAATAAACCATTAGAAAAATGAGTTAATACTAGATGTGCTAAGTTCTTTGAAGGAAAAAAAAAACCCTTCACTATATAGTCCCTAATGGTGGCCAACACTGGATGAAGTGGAGGAACAGCCTTTGAGTTGGCAACTTAATAGAGATCTGAGACCACGAGCATTCCAAGTAGAGGCAATAACAAGTGCAAAGACCCTGAGCAGGGAGGGGCCTCAGTGGGTGGAAACACAGGAAGGAGCAAGTGTGGCTAAAACTCAGTGAGGAAAAGAGTGGAGTGAAGTGAATCTCAAAAGCTGCCAGGAGCCATGGTATGGGATAACCTGTTGGCAGCAAAAACTCGCGAATTTTATTCCACACACAATGAAATGTTTGCTTTAAAATGAATCATCTGGCTATGGTGGGTACAAAGAATTAGATTCGGGACTGGATGGACACAAAGTCTCTGTCTGGCCTCAGTGACCCATGGCAAGTTCCACAGGGTCCCTGGGAGCCTCTCAGCAGCTGTGGGTCCTGTGTCAATCAGCGCTGTCCTATAGCACTTTCAGCAAAGGTAGGCTGCTCCATACCTGTCCATTCCCACGGCCACTATGCGCAAGTGGCTCTTGAGGAACTGGATTTTTTATTTTATTCCACTTAAATTTTTAGAGCCGTGTGTGGCTAATGGCTGTTATACCGGAGAGCACAATGCAACACTGAGCACTGGGTGTCTGAGGATTTCCATTCCGAATCCCCCGGGCCAAGGCATCCCAAAATAGCGGAAGCGCCAGAGGGTATATTGATCTCCCAGGCGTTCAGCTTTAAGATGGAGTGGCTGAGGCGGGCAGCGTTCTGAGCTTCATTTTATCTCTAGGGATGTATGCGCACGTGGTTATGAGGAGCCCCACGCGCGTTCCCAGGGGAAGCTCCGCACTGTGAACAAAATTTCAGGGACCTCACTTTCTAGATTGCACCAGTCTCTCTTTGCCGCAGCCGCGGGCGCGGTCCAGCCATTGACAGAGGGAAACAAGGGCCCAAAGCGCCTAGCCTCGCCCCGCCTGCCGCCCCGCAGCGAGTCAGCGAATTCAGCAGCTTGGGGGGCCGCGCAGGTGCGCTGGAGAAGGAGGGGATCGAGGCAAGCTATCGAGCTGGGTCGCATGTTCAGGGATTCCTCGCTGCGCAGTCGCTTCTTCCCGGGGATGAGGGCGGGGGTGACGCGGCTGTCACCTGCACTGAATCTGCTTCCTGGGCTGGCTTTCGCTTTGCCTGGAGCTCTGCAAGGCCTGCGCACCGCAAGCCCTGAGAGCCTGGCAGGTGGCAGCCGAGGAGGGGCGGGGCTGGCGCCTTGAACCCCTGGCGACCCCGGGCCCTCTTCCGGAGGACAGGTTCGGGGTTCGGGCAAGGCACCCTGCAACGTGCGTGCGGCCTGCCTGGCCGGAAGGCGCCCCTGACCTTGGTTTTTCCCCGGTGCCAGGTCTGCTCAAGGACCATGGGCGCCGCGCTGGGCACGGGCCCGAGGCTGGCTCTCCTTCCCGGCCGTGCCTGCGGCACCGTCCCACGCTGGACACCCTCCGCACCTGCCCGCTGCAGCCACTCCAAGCCCGGCCCGGTGCGCCCTGTGCCCCTGAAGAAGAGAGGATACGATGTCACCAGGAACCCACATCTCAACAAGGTAACGGTCCTCGAAGGTAGGGTGGCACAAGCCGACATCCTCTGGCGGCAGAGGGCGGCGCCCCGCCTCCTGGTATCTTCCCAGGCGCCCTTCCAGCCATTTTCCATTTTTGCCTTGCAGTTTGGCTCCCCTCCACCCCCACCCCTCTTCTGCTTAGAAAGGAGCACAATATATACTGGGTTAAAGTCCTCGAGACTATTCTGACCTGATGTCAGATCTCTCCTTGATACGTACTAATTCTGCTGGTCTTGGGTAGTTCCTCTACCCTGTAACTCCAAGTTTCCTTATCTATATAAAAGAGACCAATTGTTTCAGGATTGTCGTGGGATTTAAAGAGAAAATGGAGATAGAGTTCTTTGTACAGTGTACCTGGCACCCAGTGAAAACAACTGTCAGAGGAAGTTATTATTCTGAGAAAAAGATTACTATGAAAGTAGGAACAAGAAAGTCTAGAACCATAGAATCTTTAGACTTTGAAGGGGCATCAGAGATCCTAATTCAAACCTCTCCTTTTACAAATGAGAAAATAAGACAAACAGAACTTGCCCAAGGTCACCAACTAGTTAGTTCTGGCAGCCCTGCAACTGGAGTCCAGATTTGGATCTCTGGTGCATTGGTCAAGTTCAGCCCGCTGCTAATGTGGTGCTTAAAGGCACACACATTTGTTTCTGGGAATGGAGTTTAGTATCACTGGTTCAAAGGACTGAGCTGAGAAAAACACGACAGTATTAAAACCCAGGAAGCAAGAGGCCTGGATTCTGATGCCTGTCACCTTACACCTTCTCACGTTAAATTTGTCTGAGGTTCGGTTTTCTCTACCTAAATGGGATGTTATGACAGACCCGCCATTTCTACCTCCTTTGGTTATTGTGACAATCAAATGAATTGCTGAATTTTATATAATACTTTAAATTACATAAAGCCCTTGATAAGTAAGTACTGCAAAATAAAAATTACAGTAACTTCTTTGCTTCAGGATTGTGAAATTCGAGTGAGGAAATGTGTGTGGAAAAGGTGTTTTTCAGAAATAGGAGCAGTTATGTAAATGCTAAGTACCGTGATTGTTTCCTGCAGAATTAATAGAAGAAAAGAAAAAGTCTTTTAAACTCTACCTATCATACTATCTCCCTGCCTTCCCCCCCAAAAGACAATGCATCCTTTGTATATTCCTACTTGGAAATATTTAAGGTGTTTTGTGAATTTGAATTTCTTTGGTAGCAAGTGTTAGAAAATAATTAGCTTAAGCAAACAAAATGTGCCTTTTAACTAAAAATATTTAGAATGGGGTTGCAGGCAAGGCTTGATCCAGCACGCATCTAGATGGCATCCCCAGGGATAAAAGGTGTTTTTTTTTTTGGCACTCTGTTCTGCTTCTACAGCTTCATCCTCAGGCCCTATCCAGTGGAGTCTTTCACCTCAGTGCTGCCATAGTTCAACACCTCCTATTCCACACCACCCAGGGACAGATGGGCACTTTCTCCTGGTAGATCTTGTGGAAAAAACATTTTCTCTGAAGCTTCAGAAAAATAATCCTTCTGATTCATGGACTCTGATTATATTCCCTTCCCATTCCCAAACTAAGCACCCTAACTTAAGCCAGTCAGGACCCACCGCAGAGTTAAAAATAGAATTTAAAGTTGGGCCACCCACACCAACTGTTTTAGAATAAAGGGGATGTGGTTCCCCTACAGTAAGACTGTGCTGTCATCAGAGGGAGGAGGAATGGACGCTGCAAGGCAAAACAATAAATTCCCACTATAGACTCCAATTGTTTTGACAGTAATTGCCTTAGAAGTACTGGCAATTACTAATCTGCGCTTACCATTTTGTGAAGAGTTAAAAAAAAAAGAAAGGATTGAAGTGCCTGGTTTTTGTGTTTTGTTTTATTCTTTTAGCCTTAGGCTTTTATGGCTCTCTAAAAGCACTCTTGCCCCATCCCTTTTTCCTTCTAAATAATATAAATGGGACATCATCTCTAAATCTAGGGGGCCTTACCTTTTCATGATGTTAATAAATTTTTGTATAGCCCTGAATTCAGTTGATGCCAGTCTGGAGGGAGGAGGGCGCCTAGGGTGATGCCAGAAGAGCCCGTTGCTGTCTCCATTCGCCCTTGGAGAGAGGGGATAATGGAGCAGCTGGGCTGCCTGGGAGCAGTGGGAGTGCCCTGCACGCCCACCGCAGTGCCGCCCTCTTGCTGTACTGCTGACCGCCAGCACCGAGTCTCCAAGGAAGGCTCGAACCTTCTGACCACCAGCCATATGGGGAGACTTGCTGAATTAAACAGAACAACCGAGTTTATCATTGAGAAAACAAGAGAAGGGCAGCTTTGAAACCAGTCCCTGCTATTTAATGGGTGGATCTGTGGGTGGTTTTTTTCCTGCAAGACGATGAGCTCCTCCAGGGCGGGGACTGGTTTCATGCATTTGTGTTCAGCAAGGGTAGTTCCTGAAGGATCTGGCATGGGTATGGACATGAAAATTAACACTACATTCTTAGAATATGGTCACTAGATTTGCATCCCACTTTTTGTTTAATCCTCATTGAAGACATGCTCATTGACTTTAGAGAGAAGGGGAGGGAGAGAGAGAAAGCGGGAAAGAAACATTGATGTACACACAAAGTCGTTGAGAACAGGAAATGCAACAATGACTTAAAACCCCATGGTATCTAAAAAGTTTTGTGGTCTTTAAATTTCTGTGTACTTTTGACTAGATTGAACATGGAGTAAAATGAACTGACAGTTTATCTCTTTCTCTTTTGCACCTTTTGCTGGAATGAAAAAACCTGTAACAAAAGAAGGGGGGAAATCAAACTTAAGAATCTAGACATATTTTATGCTAGACAATATGTCTTACAATTCTTTCTTCTGTTCAATGCAAGTGCTACAAGATGACAAACGTGTGCGTTTTAGGTAGATATATTTCATCATAAGGATGAAAAAGGCTATTTTTTCTACTTTCAATTTTTTTTTTACTGCTACTGCATAATTGTGTAAGTTATTCAGGAACAGATTTATAAGGTATATAAGTCTTACTGTGATCCAGGGGGACCAAGACTGATTCAGGTGCTCTAGTCAATTCTGGAATTTTCCCACTTGCTTGCATTTTAGCCATTTTAGGGAACTTATCTCTTTATAAGGTGCCAGGGTCATTCCAATTGATTGTGCAAAAATATCACATCCATTAACCAGATCTGTTCCAAACTTTCTGACAAAATTTTTGAAAAATGAATAAAATATATACTTTAAAAAAGAAAATAAAAGAAACACTGATGTGAAAGAGATACATCGATCAGTTCCCCCTCATATGCACCCCAGATGGGTTTGAACCTGCAGCCTAGGCATGAGCTCCAACCAGGGATCAAACTATAACCTTTTGGTTTATGGGATGACGCCCAGCCCACCGAGCCACACTGGTCAGGGCTGCATACCACTACTGACAGATCAGGAGAGACATTTAATATGAAGCTGGAGGGCAGAGGGTCATCAGGAGGTGGGCTTCTCTGAAAGAGGAAGAGCCACTGAACAGGCCATGCCTGGCTGATGTTGAGCAATGACAGAATCGGGTCCCAGCTTTGTCACTCTTGATCTGTGATGAGTCCCACGAACTCCTCAACCTGTGTCATCCTGCCACTGTGAGGATCATGGGTGATAGCCCCTGTGGAATCACCAGGAAAACTGTGAAATGCTGTGTATTAGATGAGCATGTGGACAACTCCCGGAATCGGAGCTGAAGGGGCCCTTAGACACTGCTCTAGCCTGGAACTGCTCAGACTACAGGCCACAAACTGTAGGATATAAACTTCATTTAGTGGGTCTAACCAGCATTTCTATTTTAAAGACATGGATTAAGATCATATAAAAACTAGTAAGTGTATTAAAGTTAATAAAAACAAGTATTATTTCAGATCAGCAGGTGAAGTGCCAATTTTCACTGTGGATTGTAATAAAAAATGTTTTTGGAAAGTGCCATTTCCACCCAACATCTTATTTTCAGGAGAAGAGATGGGCTGAGAAGGGCACATGGCCCCACGGAGATTGTCACGGGTTGCAGGGGTGGCAGAAGCAGCCCTCCTCTGGACTCCAAGTCCACCGGAGAGCAGTGGCAGTTCTCAGTCCATCTGCCTGGGCCGACTGGGCATATTCCTGATGACAGGCTGAAACTAGTTCCCTTCAGGAGTCTCGATTCTCTGAATGATACAAATTCACCAATACATCAACTTCTTCTGTTTCATTTTTTTTTACAAATGTTCTGCCTTTCTTCTAAAATGTATGTAATGACCTATTGTTCATATGGATTGTAGCAACAGAGTAAATCTTTGATTACATAATACAGGATATTAGCCATATTTTACCTAAAGTTAAATAGGCAATTACCAAGCCCACTTTATAGGGGTATTTTTCTAGGCTGGTATCATCCCCGTTCTATTATTGTAGGAAGTGAACCCTCCAAATGCTTCTGGCCCCAGTTTACCTGTCACCTCTTTCAGGAAGGGCTGTGCTGTTCCCCAGTCCCCACATTAGACATGAGTCCCCTGCTGTTGGTCTTTCCAGTTTGTGTTTCTTTCCTTCTGGCCCCAAGCACCCTGCTGTAGTGGCTGTTTAGTTCATCTTCCACACCGGACCCTGAGCATCTAAAGGACGGAGACAGTGTCTTGTCTGACTTGAGATGCTCAATAATATTTGCTCTTCAGTGATCTCAGTTTATGACCCCTTTCCTCTGAACTTCATTAACCATAATGCCACTACTTGACAGTTAGCCTAATGCTCTCGTTGCCTAGAGAAATGATTACAAATGGCCCATTTGGAGGAAATGCAATTACTTGAACCAGATCTTCTCAGACTTCAGGGTGTTTCACTGAAGGGATGTGTGATTTCCCAGAGTGTGTCAGCCGTCCCCTTTGACCCCCACTCAACAATTTTTGCCATAACATTCCACTGACTCTTCACTTGTACTTTTTATATCTCTTGGTCTTGATAAGTCCTGGAAAACAGGAATGAAGAGGGTGCTTAGTCAAGTCACTGTGATTAAGGACCTGCAAAGCACCACTGGTGACTGCCTCCCCGTGTGGACTTGATGGGTTTAGATCACTGACCCTGTGAGGCTTGGTGGCCAGTGCTACAAGGTTGGCTGCATCTCTGAGGCTATCCAGGTTTCAGCTCAATCCCTTGTATATTCAGTGGTACTTTATTAGACTCCCACACAGCTCCGATATGCCTTTGATTAAAGTATATGTTTTTGTTCGGTGCCAGCCTAGAACTTAATCTTGCCTCTTGCCTTTGGTGAGGGGGCTCCGTCATCACACACTTGGCTCATTGATCAATCAGGACATGAGGACTGGGTTGTGTGGAGAATTAGAAACTTGTGGGTGATGCTGTTTTTTGCCACAAAGGCACATAACATAATGTGTCTGCCCAAGACCTCTTCCTGATGTGATGTTGAATTGAGCATCTGTTCAAAAGAGAAGCAATGGATTATTAAGTAAACATTAGTTCCATAACCAGCAGTTGACTCTAGATTTCAGCCTCTTATGCCGTGGCTCAGGGCATTGAAGCTCAAATACTGTTGGGATATTTTGAGAGCAAACAAGCAGAGGCAGGCTGGACTTAAATCTTTTCCGGTCGAATACTGTCCTGGCTTCATGGAAGTGGTAACATTTGGTGTTAGTCCTTTGTGCTTGGAACAGCTAAAAGAATTTGTGTTAGGTTTAAAGTTCGGCAACTATAACAATGTGAACACCAAACACAGAGGCTCAGAAAGACAGAAGCATATTTCTATATTATAAACAAGTGTGGGTAGACAGTCACAGGTTGGTGTGTGGCTGGAGCTGTTGCTTTGACCTCCTTGGTGTGTATTCACACGTCATGGTTCAAGGTGGCTGCTCAAGCCTCTGCTGTTAATTCCCTACAAAAGCAAGTGACGGGAGAAATGCCTGTGAAGGTCACAAAGTAGACCTTGCAAATATCACTTCCACTCACATCCGGTTGGTCAGAACTTGGTCATGTACTACACCTTGTTGCAAGAAAACCTGGGAAATGTAACCTTTAACAGGGCACCCATGTATTTAGCTAAAAATTCTACACATTAAGGAGAGAATGGATATTGAACTGCCTCTAAATATTTGTGTGAAACTTTAATTATTTTTACTGTCAATTTTCCTCAGCCTTTCAAACCCACCAGTTTCTCCCCATTGCCACCACCACCAGCCATACTTGCTCCTTTATCATCTCACATCTAGATTATGCAGGAGCCTCTTCATTGGTATCCCACCCTCCAGTCCTGTTTCTTTTAACCGCTGCTCTGGGTCTGCGAACCACACCTGGAGAGGCTAAAACCTTGCACACGTACTTAACCAATCTCTTTCTTTCAGACCCCACATCTAATCCGCCAGATACTCCTGTAGCTCTATTTTCAGACTAGACCTGGAACCCAAGCCCTGCTCCCCACGAGGCTCACTCAGACCTGAGCTACAAACATTACCCTGCAGGGGCGACCACAGCAGCCTCCGAGCTGGTGTCCTGGCTTCCACCGGTGGTCTTCTTGTGTATTCTCCACACAACAGGCAGCACGACCTTTTAAAAACCAAGTTTGATCACGTCACTCTTCTGCCCAAAACGCTGCGAAGTCAGAGTCCTTACAGGGCCTTGCGTAACCTGACCCTCTCTGACCCCAGCTTTGCTACGCGTGTCAGCCTCACTCACTGTCCAAACCACTCTGGCCTGCTGGCTATTCCTCGCAGACTCCAAGACTACTCCTCCCTACAGTCTTTGCACTGGCTGTTTCCTCGTCCTAGAACATCTATCCTTTAAACAGCCATGTGGTTAACTTCCTCACCTTCTCACAGGTGTCTCACTTTCTCAGTGAGACTTATTCCGCCCACTGCACGTGAAGTTGCAAATAGACCTTTCAACCTTCTCGGTCGCCCTTAATACAGTCTGCTTTCCCCTCATAGTATTTCATACTTCCTAACATACTATTTAACTTCCTTACTTATTATGTCTCTTATTTGTTGTTCGTATTGATCACTATACTGTAAGCTCCTTTCAGGTGGGGATTTTTGTCTTTTTGCTCATTGTTGTAGCTGACATACTAAGAACAGGGGCTGACTCCCAGTTGGTGCTCTGTAAGTAGCTGTTGGATGAGTGAAGCATTCAGAGAGACATCCGCTGGGGCACCTTCCCCTCCTCCCTCCCCTTTTGCCCCAGAACCTCTCCTTGCCCAGTGCCCCCCTCTGTGATGCTGCATGCCAGGATCACCGCTGCCAGAGTGTGGATTAGCCTCATATCAGCCCTTGGTGTGCCCAGACGCCCCCTGTAGAGTGAAGATTAGAGGAGCACAGCTCAGAGATGTTCACACTTCATTATTTCCAGTTTTAGCAGCGTTAAGCCAAGCCCAGGGGAGAAAGAGGCCCTATTCATGAGACACGGGTGGTGACTTGGAACCAGAGATGGAAGAGGACATTCTTGAGGCACAGGAAAAAAACAAAGGCTATGTGGGGAGTGGACCAGAGGTGAGAGACCCCAGCATCTCCTACTTCCTAGGGCCCTGACCCTCTACTGTGAATCCTTGGAGGCCCCATCCTCACTCTGAGCCCCTCTGATTCCCCTGTCCTGAAGCACCCCTACTAAAGACAAGGATACCGTTTTGTGGACTAAGTGTGCCCCCTCTGTGTTTATGTTGAAGCCCCAGCCCCAATGTGATGGTGTTTGGAGGTGGGGCCTTTTGGAGGCAATTCAGTCCTGAGGGTGGAGCCCTCATGAGGGGATTAGTGCCTTATTGGGGACAGGACATAATTCCCATTGCAGGTTCCCTGTCTGCCACCTGAGAACATAGTGAGGAACTGGCCATCTTCAAGCCAGGAAGGCAGCCCTCACTGGGAACTGACTCGGCCAGCACCTTGCTCTTGGACTTCCAGCCTCAATAATTTCCTGCTCTTTAAGCCACTGAGTCTATGGTATTTTGTTGTAGCAGCCCAAGTGGACGAAGACACCATGTGAGGAAGCGCTTTACCTCCCCAGGGTCAGAAAATCGAGTTGCATAGCACTGAGGGAGCACTGAGGGAGATTTGCTTCTCCTGGAACCCGAGGTTGATGCTCAGAGAGTATTTCTCACAAACACGTTGTTATGAAGAGTTGAATTGATCTCCAAAGAAAGTATATTATGTGCGAGATTAGCATTTGTATGATGATTATGAAGATTTCAGAAACACTGACTGATGTTTATGAATACGTAATTCAAAATGCTAACTACTGAGTGAAGTCTGTAACCATGAGTGTCACTGTAAAAAGACTTGGAAGTAAGAACGTGAATGTGATTATGTTAGGGTAGTGGAATTATGGGCAATCTATTTTCTCTTTATAGAATTTTCTTTCATGTTCCTTCATCTATTTAGTTTTAGGTTACGGTTTCTGTTGGAAATTAATTTTCTAAAGCCAAGTAAATAAAATTCAGATCAGCTTTTGGAATCTGACCCTTCTGTTAACACAGGGGTGGCGTTCTCATCATGTGGAAATTCCTCTAAAATAATCTTATGTCAAGGTGTGTCTGCGTATAATTGATCTTGGAGAGGTGCTATGTTCAGACCCATGTAATGGAACATTAGTATAGGAACCTGCTGCCTGTTCTAAAAAGAACCGTCAACAACACCCAGGTATATAAATGGCAGCATGAAGGGCGGATCCCACACAGAAACAGGAGTTGTCCGACTCGGACTTGGGCCACTGGCATCTACGCCAGTCTGAGTCTGGGCTCTGTGTGGAGTCTCTGTGGGCACTTTTGCAGGTTCATCTTCAGTCTCCCTGTTTCCCATTTCTCTGGGTCTCCTTGGGCTTTTGTAGGCTCTGGGGGGTTATGGCTTTCTTTTAGTTCAAATTTTTGTCGTTTCTACCAAAGGTTTCTTTTATCGTCTACCTTCTTCTTTGCAAATGTCAGTCTCATAGTGAGGGGGAGAAAGGCCTTCTGACTTGTACAGCCATTGCAAAGAGGTCACTACCGTGCAGCACTTTTGTTTGCAAAGGCATGGTTGTAGTCAGCTTCCAAACCTTCACTTGGATGTGGAGAAAGCACGTTGGGAAATCCTTTGGGGTGGTGTCTGACCGCCTCTCTGGTGCAGAACACAAAAGATGTCCTATGATGCTGCGATGAAAATCTGAGGGCTGTCCTACGACTGGGGATGCTGAGGTCAGCGGTTAAAAGCATGCATTCATTCTGTACCCAAACGGTTGCCTAGCAGCCTGGTTAAAACACCAAAAGGACACAGTAAAGAGTAAAATGTACTTAGTCATTTGAGGAGAGGGATTTCTGATGGAAAGATCATCAGCTTTTGAGAAACTTGAATAAGAGAAAATCAAAGCCGCATTTGCTTTTAAAGTGTTACTGAAAGCTAGAGGGGACCACAGGCCGTAGCGTTGAATGATGAGCAACTTGAGAATATTATTTTTTGTGAGCATTTTGCCTCAGCTCTGTATTGTTATTTGATAGTAGGACCACATGAAGCTCATGGCACATCTGAAACATACTCCCCCATGGTGTGCGACTCTGGAGAAGGCAGTTTCTGTTCCTTCGTTGTGTTTTACTTGGTTCTTTCGCAAAAGAGAAAGAGGGAGCCAACACCTGCACGCGGCGGCCCCTCTTCTGAGTGACAGCTGTCTGGTGACCTCCCCAACAGGACAAAGGCTGCCGGTGCCCTCACTACGAAGGTGGAGCTGGGTCTCCTCCCCCAGGACACACCCCCCTTCCTCTACCATCTGAGGGAGGTGCTGAGGGTTCCAACTCAGATTCCTGTTATACTGGATTTCCTTCGGTGGCAGAATGCCTTATGGAGGCAATTCAAATAATAAGAGCTAGCGCTTTTTAGGACATACAGTGAAGAATTGTTCTAAACAATTTCTGTAATGTAACTAATTTCATATGATACCACAACCTCTTGAAGTATATAATGTTAGATTACAGATGAAAAGATCTGAGACACACGGAGATTAGCTACTTGCCCAAAGTTGTGCAGCTCATAGTGGCTGAGCTGAGTCATGAATCTGGGCCATGTGGTTTTAGGGCCCACATCCTAAGTCCCTATGCACTGTTGTCACTCTCTGCCTGCAAGTGCCCTCTGACTTGGTACTAGTGTAGGGAGTCTGATGTTCTGGGGCCTTGCTGGGTACTGGGAGGGACATTCCCTGCTGTCGCCCTCTGAAGGGCTATTGTCACGTCCTCAGGCTCTGTCAGAATCAGAATCTGGGAGCTGGAGGAAACTTCGAAGATCACAGGATGCCTTCTTTTCACCCTTTAAATATACGTAATTCTTCCAAGATGCATTTGTTTATCAAATTTATTCAAAAGACATTTGCTGAGTGCATATTGCACTTTAGGCACTGGAAACCAGAGGGTGAAAACAACACATTTTTTTGCCTTCAAGGAGCTTACATATAAGAGGAGTGGAGGTGGGGGCCAGTTAGTAAGCAGGCGCTTCGGTTCAGTGGGTCGGCCTACGGAAAGGAGCACCGGCAGGAACGCTACGGGGAGTGTGGGGGCGGGTGCAGAAACATTCCTTACGCAGGGCTCTGGGCGCTGACGCGGGTGGGAGAGGAGGACTTGGCAGATGAAGGCGGTGGAGGGGAAGCTGTCTAGATCAACCATGAAAGACAACAGCTTTTTCTCTGAGAACAGCCGCCTTTTGTGCTGGAATGTGCAGGAATTGAGCAGTAGACCTATACCTTATCATTGGCCACAGTTTCAGAGAACTAAACAATAGTACAAAACCTCTCATTCTATAGACAGAGTGAATGCTATAGCTCTAGTACTGTGACGTGCTCTGATTTTGTTCTTTTCCTTGTTTTTGTGTTGCACACCTTTAGCGGTGGCCATTCACATTAGGTGCTCAATAATTTTCAGCATGTTTGAGGGCTCAGCTCTCCAAGGACAATGCCACCACACTGCCTTCCTTGATCATGCCACACAGAAGTGACTCATTCAGCCTCAACACTCCTTTGGTGTTTAGCTTGTGTAGATGTGTTCTTTGCCACGTTTGGTCTTGGTGTAGATTTACAGTGTGGACATGTGTCTCCATTTCAATGCTTTCTATGAGCCAGGACCCTGTCATAGGCACTACGAGGCCAGTACAATGCCTTCTTCAGAGCAAATCCTCAAAAAAAATTAGTTACATGAATCCCTTTCACATTCCCTCCTGGACAAACCAGAAACCTCTGTGGTGAAGACCGCCAGTTCACCTCCTCATCTGCTTCTCTTCTATTTTGTATAAATCTCAGATCTAGTTAAATCTCTCCATGGAGCTTGGAGAGTTTTGAAAGCCAAGATGCAGCTTTTAACTTTGGTCCTATACATTTCGGGAATTCATTTCTTGAAGAGAGTTTTCTGCTCTGATGCTGTACCAACCAGGTGCACTTGACCCAAAGAAAAGCATCTTTATGATGAGAGCATTTATTCTCATCCTTGAGCCTACTTCAAAAACATTAGATTTAGACCTACTACAAGTAGCAACAGGTTAAAGGATTTTGGAGATGGAGGAAAGTATTCAGCTGGAATCAAATATGTAGCCCCC